ATACTCCTTCACACTTATATTTTCATGATATAGTGGTGTGTTTCTTCATAACGGCCGTTATATAGCTTGAAATATTCTCGTGATCGTTCATATAATGTATGTTTCGTGGGTTTGTATTGTTTTTCTCTCTCGTTAACTGCTGTATATCATTTGTGTTGCCTGATTGTTTATGTCTTAATATTGTTTGAGTGAATATTATTTGCATGGCTTTAGCTAATATATCCTGAATTATTTCATCTTTTTATTGTTATACCACTATGTTGTCAATAATATCGTAAACGGACCATATTACGATTATGCATACTCAACTAATTCATAACCATCATCTGAACTAACGCCATTCGCTATTCATACTATTCATGTCTGCTTCCGATTCTCAAAGCAGTGTGTTCCTTTAGTCTTTCGTTTTTCTGTTTCCATTCAGGATTCAAAGTTAGCGCCTGCCTCCTGATGCGGTTTGATGATTTCTTCAATGTGTGTCCTATCCACTTCCAGCGTCTTTTCCTAATTTCCTGTTCAGTTGGAAGCTGGTTTGTTCTCTCCCATAGTAGGCTGTTGCTGATGGTATCCGGTCAATGGGCATTCAGTATCTTACGTATACAATCGTTTATGAATACTTGTATCTCTTTCATGATGGTTGTGGTAGTTCTGCAAGTTTCAGCTCCGTACAATATAACTAACTGTCTTGACGTTCGTATTGAAGATTCTGATTATGATATTGGTTGACAATCGTTTTGAGTTTCATACGTAGTTCAACTGTGGGAATGCAGTCCTTGCTTTGCCGATCTTCGCCTGCACATCAGCATCAAACCCTCCTTATTCATCCATGGTGCTACCTAGTTGTTCACAGCTTTTAGTGAAGATTTTCTAAATTTCATCACAAATCGGGAGAGTATGTTGTTCAGCACAAAAAAGTCTCATCTGAATTTTCATTATAACCAGTCGGCTTAAACTGTTGTTTCTCAAGTAGAGACCCGTCACCTTGAAATTCACTAGTTGCCGTTTCAAATAGGTTGGTAGTATAAACCAACCGTAAGTTATCAATTCATACTTAGTTTTCTTCAGAACCCATCTCATGTTTTCACTAAAGGGGTTTATTTTCTAAATTCGATTTCAGAAAGTTACTCGAAAACGAACTAGAAGCTGTGGGTATTCGATTGAATAAAAACAAACCAAATATTTATTTCAAGGTAATTTAAAATTTGATCACTGTTCTAAGCTCCCTAATTTTCACAGTCCGTCATAAGAAATAACTGAACCCGTGGTTCAGTTTTATAAGTACTTGACGATGAACTCCCACAATTGAGTTATATCTCGTCTCCCTGCGACAGCTGGGTGGTTTCGTTTGTCAGTGACTTGGATTCGACCAAGCATTCACATACAAATCCATGAAGTGTCTTATAGGAGCCAGCGATATTACATTGCTCTGACTTCGGAAAACAAAACAGAACTCGAATACTACCACAGCTTCATGTTTTTTGACAAGCTTTGACATAAAGTCTGATCACTTTCCTCGTATTGATAAATCATCTTAATTCCCGGTCTATCGAGAAGATAGTTGCGGTAAGAGTTGTCAAATACTAGCTTTAACATCCAACTAGGCGAGGAACACGATTAACTAAATCACGACTTTTTCAACGTTGGAGATAGCTAACAGTCGTATAATGTAACTTCGATGTTAATTTTTTCTTTTCCTCCAAGCATATTTGTTCTTTGCCACAGTACATTATTACTGATGGCCTCTGGTCAATGGGGAATAAACAGCTTTGTTTGACACCGGTTTTTACTTAAAGTGAATATGTGGGCTGCTGTTTATTCACGGCTTTGCAATGCGGTCCTTCGTAAGAGTTCTGTATAGTAGTGAACTTACCAGGTGATTCACGTTTCATATCTCCTATTTCAGCGTTTTCCGCTGTTATTGCTAGGTCTTCCACGTGTTTCTGCTTGCCAGCCCTAATGCTTCTCTTCACTTGCTTGTTTGCTTCTGTGTGTTCAGCTTGTGCCTTGACTTTCTCTGTTCTTGTTCGGCTGATGTTCATTGTTGTCTTGTCATTCTTTTCTTGAATGCTACTCAGGGTTTCGATGGAGATCCATTCCTTATGATGATGCTTCCTGTGGCCCTGAACCTCCTAGCACGTCGAGATTATTGTTTCTTTAATCCCTCTCCAGTTGTCCTCCATAGTAGTTTCTTTTTCTTTGTGTAGATCTTGTAAAGCTTGGAACCTGTTGCTGAGAGCTATCATGAATTCGTTGAGTTTGTTAGTATCTCAAAGGAAGGCTTTACTAAACCTTTGTAGTGCTGTTTCTCCAGTTGTACAGTTCTTCTTTAGCTTCAGTTTAATTTTGGCAACCAGCAAATACTTATATGAACCTAAGCCAGCTTATATTTATGTTCTCATGACTTTCACGGGTCTTCTGAATTTTTTCGTGATGCAATATGATCGACCTCGTACTATTTAGTGTGATCTGCAGAGACACATGTAGCTTTGTGTATGTGTTTGTGGGGGAATGTAGTGCATCCTATAGCTATTTTGTTGAATGCACGTAAATTTGCAAATCTCTCGCTATTCTTGTTCCTTTCCTTCAGTCCATGTTGTCCCATGATATCTTCATACTCGATGTTGTCCATTCCGGTCTTGGCGTTTAGTTCTCTTATAAGGATGGTCAGGTCCTTTTCTGGGCACTTATCTACGACCGATTGCAGCCTCTCATTGTACTGATCTTTATTGTCTCCACTATTATCACTGGTGTGGGCGTGGGACTGAATATCGTTCACTGCGATCCCTTCTTCGTTTCGCTAATTGTTGAAGGTCATCTTCTTTACGGGATAAAATTGGTATAGCAATAGTAACACGCTCCAGCAAACGACCACTATCTACCATCAAGCTCGCGTATGAATGCCCATTAAATGAAGTCTTCTACGTATGTAGCTAGAAGGCAAGAACATTGAGAGGGCAGATTCAGTGAAAACGACATAAAACTTTTGATTAGAGAAATATATCACTTTATGGCACAGGTAACATTGCACACAAACACAGATGTTCCAGGTTATATTATTAATGATACATCTGATATTTGATCAGATATCCTTAGAAAAAGATTTTAACGCTATATTTGTGATGGGAATTGAGCTTTACTCTCACCGTGTGTCTTAATTTTTACCAGGAAGTACGGTCAATAATACAGGGCAGATGTGTATATATTCGCTAATTTCGGATAAACTACTCGTCTGTTATAGAGTGTCACCAGTATTCTCTGTGGCCGTGTGATTAGTGGAAGGCTTCAGTCGACAACCACTGGAAGCCTACGATGGCAATCATTCATTAATTATTCGCGTATGTTTCTTGAATAAACAAAAACGAAGAAACAAACAAACATGGCCGTTTAGACAAAATATAGAGAGCCTGAACTGCTCAAAAGAAGTTTTGCGTCAGTCGAAACCTCCTGAAACAAACTTAACCATAATTCTTACTTGACGCTATGAGAATAATGACGTGAAAAAGTGCAAAACTATAGCAATAACTTCATGATTGCTTTTAACATAAAATACATACCGACCTGATATACCTTTATTGGTTTATATCCCAAAGAAAGCGAAGAATACAAGGGGCTTAAGTCATAAAAGGTATTTGTCACGAGGACTTCAGGATCTCAGAAATGGCAGGGATCCACATTGACTATTCTCCCAATCAACCAAACCATTGATCAGATTCCTGAACATTTATCTAGTGGCTGCCACTAATTAAATCAAAATGATATGTCGATAAAATCACACATAGTAGAACAAGGTAAAATCTTCTGTCGTTCTGTCACTCATCTGTTCTGTAGTGATACCGATGAGCTGTCCAATTCATCATGTCTACAGCAAGTGAGTGGATGGACTTCTTATGTCTGATGATATTGAAGACCAAGAACAGAGTATTAGCACTAATAAACAAGAAAGAAGAAATCAATCAATTTACACTGTGTTGTCACAAATAAAATATATTGTTTTTGATTGTGACTCGTTTTAACACGCTCCAGCTAGTTTTCGATTTCCAAGGTCGCTCGTCTGATGATTAGGTTTGCCCCTTTGTGGTGGCGTCCCAAGGTGACTTGTACTTTTTCGATAAAACTCGATAATATTGCTACATTTGACTTTTGCTTTTACATTGGATGTATTGCAGTCAAAATACATTCCAACCGTCTAGTAACACTTTGATTTGCAGATACTATTTCTACTGAATATAATTCGCAATCCCCTGAGATACGCCATTAACCTCACTAGTGTCTGTTGGGTGAAACTTCAGTGTTTACACATACACTCAACATGGAAGTGCATTGCTATTCGCCGAAACTTCAATTTCTGGTTGCTAATCGAAGGCTTCTACTAATTTACGTCCATTTTGAGAATTCTTCTGAGCAATGTAATTCATTTCAGAAAGCTTAGGCGTGAAATTACTAGAATCCTCGTCGCTGTTCATTCGATTCATCCATTTTTTGAAAGATATAAGTCGTTTGATTCGTCTATCTCCTCAAGCTTCGTTAGCTAACTTTTTAAATTGTATAAGATCGCATTGTTTGTATGAGAGAAACTCTGACCGTTTACGAGCCTCCGAATTCACTGGGGAACTCATGTGACATCAAACGAGGAGTAAATGATATCTGTTTCTTCCGGGTACAGAGAGCTCAGTAGTCTATGTGGAACATGTCCAAGTGGTAAAATGTACAACGTTTGCGCAACTCCAGGCTAACAGTGAGATGCACAAGAATGTCAACAATTGATTTTTGATTACAATAACTTTACTCGAATCGTATTGGAAACTTATACTGACTATAAGTTCATGTTAAGTAATCGAATTGTGCGAACACATACCTAACGCTCACCATGTCTCTTCGTTTAGGATTCCTACAACTCCGACAAACCCCTTGCGTAGTAATTGCTTGTTTCGTCATTAGTAATCAGTTGTAAAGCTATTGTTTGTTCTAGATTACAATTGAATATAACTTCTGACTAAGAGTTCATCGGATATGTAAAAAAACTCTAACTCGTCAACTTATTACTTGGCTGCACGTTAGTTCCGTTTTCATAATATCTGAGACTTAAATCTGACTAGGTCTTAGGAGCTGTTAGCACGAATCGTCTACAGCGTGTTCCGTGAGTATCATTATTTTGGGGAATCCTAATTGGCCCATTCTCAGCCAATCAGCGCTAACAGATAACTGGAGAAGACTCCGGCATCTTGTATAAAATTCTAAATACACTAACATTTTTATTACTGTATCACTCAACTTGGTTTATTTGGATTTCATTGGCGTATATGTCCAAGTCGTGTCATGATTTTCAGGACCAGTCAAGTGAGATCATGTTCAAATTCTGTTGCGCAATAAGGGTATCTCAGTCAGTCAGTCAGTCAGCTACAACGTAGAACCAGGCACATATGTGCATCGGTCCAGGTTGCCATACCTCATTAGCACAACAAGATGAACACCGGATTCATAGGAGTGGTTAGGTCAAAGGTTGCAATAAGGATATATTATAGGAAGGAAGAATTAGTTAGTAGAAAGAAAGATATAAAGTCATTTTAATCTCTTAGTTTAAGAGAAGACAGGGAGTGTATACACCTACGCCATTGTGATCGATTCTGAGCCATGTCACCAAGAGTCTCCAACCATTGGTTACGAAAGTCACGCGGACCCCAACCAAGTAGTCTGCATCTACCAACATGGCTAAGACTGGAAGTTAGTGACTTCAAGCACTGATGCCACGTTTTGGTTTGGCCGCCCTTAACTTTCTTCCAACCATCCCGAACACCGGTTAGCATTGCACGTCGTGGTAATCGGTGTTCAGGCATACGTATCTGGGTCATAATGGAAGTTCTAACAGGAACCCAAGTAGGTAATTCAAGATATAACTTACTGTGCATCGATGCGAATGTTTTTTTGCTACCATTGAAGTTATTGCTTCTATGAATTTGGTGTTCACCATGTTGTGCCAATAAAATATGGCAACTTGGACCGATGCATATATGTGCCTGGTCATACGTCGTAGCTGACTGGTTGAGTTTTTCCCCTGAGTTCATAGTCATAAAATATTTTGATACAGTAGAGTCACGAGTTACAACGCAATGTTTGTCCAGCATTCCCTGTTTCATTTTCGTCTTATTTCTTTTATTTATATGTTGGGTAATTTTTAGCCTAAGTGTTCAAACTAGAAATGCGAAGAATGGCTTGATAAGAAATGAATTGAAATAAGCGTTTAATTAAAAGCACTAAGGAAATCTTCGTTTGCATTGAATGAAATGCTTAATTTTCCCTGAAAGCTAACTTCCTCTATTCCAATCTATAAGATCACAAGTCAGCATTTCATTTCTTTTATTACGGTTTAGTAGTAGATCAGCTTGGTTAACACGGATACTACAGGTTCTGTCTGTGGTTGTAAGTACTGATCTTGTAAATGAGTTCCATTCTTTCTTGTTTAAAGATAACGAAACATTGATTAAACCAAAAGAAATTTTGTTTCTTTTGTGCACATTATTTCTTTATTCATAGAACTTCACATGCTTACTCTCATGGAGGTCAAACAAGCTAATAAATTCGTCGTACAAACTTCGGTTGCCTTCTTATCTTCGTACTCAGGAGAATTCCGGTAAAGCATCGCGTCCTGGAGAAAGCAAGAATGATCAAACATCTAATATTCGTATTACTGTTTTAAGTATTTATGAAGATAATATTTATTTTAGCAAAGTTTGAATTGCGGTTTTCATTTTCTCGAAATAAAATGCCTGACCCTCCTGGTGGATGGTCTTTTGCTTCTTGGGTTATACTTGGTGCTGTTGGTTTAACATGGGTTGTCTACCACAATTTTTCAATGTACAGAAAGGTCGATTGGAAAGAGTTTACAGATAACTTCCTACAAAAGTAAGGCTTCAACATATTTCTTTACTTTATTATGTAGAAACTTGTTAGTTTAGTTGTCCAACCTTACAAACAAGTAAAGTGTCCTTATTTGGTAGGATACCCTAGCGTTCACATACACACGTGCTAATTTTCTTCACAAAATTGCAACTTCAATGATGGTTCCTATTTCGTCAAGTTCTAGTTTAGCATACTGGTTGTGAAGTTCAATGAGTATTGCAACTCATTGATATTTGGTTAAATCGGTCATACAAATCTTTGTGTATCTTTATATTTATGTAGCACAAAAGACATGGTACTAAGCTTATTTTCAATATGAACTAATGTCGAACACGAGCTCTTAGTTTACCAATCAGCAAATCAGTTGGTTAACCTTGATCACTAGTTTGTTTTGGAACGCGAATGATAGTTAATAGCTAATACAACACTCTTTATAGTCTTTGGTCCTTTTTGTCTCTCTTGTCTACGTCTCACGTGTCTACTTGGTTAATGTTAAGTTTTTTGCAAACACTAGAAAACTCCAATCCTCAAAGGTCACTTTTCCCATGTGGACTACTATTTTTTTAATTTTTAGCGTAAGAATGTATTTTCTTGAGTATTCAAACCTTGTCATCTGTTCATTTATAATGGATATGACTTGAAGCATAGTACACGGGTGATCTATCCGTGTTTCTTGAGTTTCGAATTCTTCATAAGTCTGAACTTCTCACCTTAATGCTGTTCTATCTTGAATGTATCATCAACGTCACCCAAAAGTTCAGCTACCTGTAATTAAAATACTACCGTAATTTTTCCCGAGATCATAACGTTTACATTAGTACGACAGTTTTTAAACTATTTTTCCACTCAGTTTGTGGCATTCATGCTTTTTATTACAAGGCTTGTCTGTTCTCTCTGATTTAGTTTGAAAAAAGTTGAAAAATAATTCTGAATATTAAATTTTAGACTGTTAATTTAATCAATATGAAATCAGAATTTGCAACTCCATGTGGTATTCATTAACATTATTTTATTTTCTCATTCCTATTTAACTTGATATGTTTTTATAGTTAGTACTCTCATCTGATTTCTCAGAAATTTAGCTAGTACCAGGAGATTCACTTTTTGACTTAACATTCACAGACCATATAGCTATGTTTAATGAAAACTGTCGCCAAACTAAGGCTTCTGATCGCCGTGAGTGATAATGTAAACAAATTTGGCAAATATTTCTCCTCAAATAGCGATATTTTACCTCAGCGTTGTTCTGTGTCAACCCCTGTACTAATAATACGGGGTGAAGTATTTAAGGGTATCTACTTCACTTATCCTAGTAGTCTCATCAGCCCTAGTGGGTTGGTGTCCGACTGAATTTCGTCACGGATTCAAAAAGCTCGTTTGGCTTTTGCCAACTTGTGACATAGGCGGGTTGTCTATATTTAAATAAAAGACTACTCTGAGTGTCAGTTCTCTCTGTCCTACTTCATATGGGTGCAATTTAGTTTAGGAATGTAGGTGACATACATAGGCTAAATATTTTTGATTCTAAGTCTTTTTGAAGTACTTTACGTATTGACGAACAGCTGACAGGAATGTTGAGGTTAGGCGTAAGACCATCTGCTGCCCACCTCGACGCACGACGTTTGCTGGTATAAGAGTAAACTAAAAGAAGGCTAGACCAAGACATAACATCTATCCATGAAGACATTAGCAACTGTACTGAACCATGTTGATAAATACAGACTATCTTGTTGTGGTCCATGTGAAAATAGTGATCGGTGTTTGTAAACTTTGGTGAACGTGACTCAGAATCGTTCACAGTGAAATAGACTCACTCTATATTTTCATAAAATATTGTGCTTTTTTCTATACTTATTATATCCCACTACTACTATGGCCGAAGGTACAGCTACTGTTAAATTCACTACTCTTAGATTTGTTTTGGAATTTTTTCTATAATGGAAAAATGAACCAATTTATATGTTTCCGGTCCTACATTGCATAGAACTGACTGACGAGTGTAACCTGGTACAACTTTCCACTAAAATTAAAATGCACTATACAAAATACTGAAATAACATTGGAAAGTAAATAGAAGGAAGTATATTCATAAAGTAAATAAGTATATAGAATAATTAAGTTAAGAAGAATGATATACAATAGAAGATATAGTTCATTCAATAATGGAGTTCCCTATAGTTAAAGGAGTTTCACTCATTTTTACGAAGAATAAACAAGTAAACTACATATTTACCATCTTTTTTCTATTATTTGCTATATCTAATTATGCCTATCTCCTGCGTCGTTTCGTTTCCAGGACCCCAACCAACGACAAATGTCAATCTTACCCAGCTTTCTTTTATCACTAGCACCATATTAGTAATTGACCTCTCTCCTTATTCTAACCAGTTCTAGTGAATGTAAATGAAGCACAATTTGGAAGCCACTGGATGACTTCTGTAAAATATGTCTAAACCGATTAAATTATCATTACTACACCCGAATACACGTTGTCGAACCTCTTCACTACTAACACATTGTTACCATCAAATGTCAGCAATCATTCAAAGACATCAAATCTTCAGATTGTTAAAAAAACTTTGCAATTCGTATAGCTTTTCATTTTGATGACTTGAATATAGCACTCATAATTTGTAACCTATTCAGTCGAATTACTTTGATTTAATGATGCGTCTGGGTTAAAAGTATAATGTAAAACTGCTTATATTTGATAAACAGACTGAAAAATTTATTTGTATAATATGTATGTGCATCTCATTTTATATCAGTATATTTTCGTAGGGGTGCTGTCCATCACTTAGAGGTTGTGAACAAATCTTGGGTTAGAGTCCATCTCCAACCAGGCGCAGATTTCGAGTCGTATGAATCCATTGATCCCAGCAAGAAAATTTATTGGTTTGAAATCGGTTCAGTTGACACTTTTGAACGAAGTCTACGTGATATGGAGGCTCATATGGGTATAGATCCTATGCATAGAACGTTTATAACCTATAGCAGTCGTCTAAAGCTGTAAGTATCATTGATTAATTATCATTAACTAACTTTTCGAAAATTAATTTACAAGGCACAGATTTGTGTACCGAACTCCGAGTCATGCTTCAAGTCCGAGGACTCTGTAATTATCAAAATTGAAGTAGGTAGATTGGCGTCCAAACTTGTATTTTAATGGCTAAAAGTTAAATTTTCTAGCCGCTGACACATCGGAGAAAACTGTTATTAACTTTGATATGAAGTTAATCGACATATTTTTATAAATTTACAGTGTGGCAACTCACAGTTGGCAATAAATAGAATGATTGTCTGTCAGTAAATCGTTTCATACACTTAATGGACTTTGTTGTTACAGGAATAAAATGATACGTCTTGTAGAAGCTACCATTTATCATGATTTATTTGAACGTTTGAACATGATTTATTCTGATCTCACTAATTCTATCGTTTACATATGTGACCTTAAGGTGTGTGTATGGTTGTGTCTTTATGGTTACTTGTATCTTTCATGTCTATAAATTTTGATTCGTATTTTAATTAAGTTGAATAGACACAGTTGAACTCTTCACTTTTCCTCATTCTCTGTTTGCATTAACGAATGTGTGAAATATATATATATATTCAAAATCATTTTCATATTTGGCATTTTTTATTCCATTATTTACTAACGCGAATCAAGTCGATAAATATACACAAAGTTAAGTGGGATATGTATTCCATCCGCGTCGGTCTCATATGATTATAATAAAGTCAGTACATTGCAACAGTTTAAAACCTTCCTGTCATTATGCATTAACAGCGCATCCAACTGATAATCATTAACTAAGAAAAATTTCCTGCACTTGTCAGTCATTCACTTTCTGTGCCTAAGCTTGATGAGGTTTGAAGGCTTTGAGGGTCCTCTACAGTCTGAAGTAAAACCATTCACTGTCGTTAGTACCTGCACACTACTTGGATAGTTTTACGGTAGAAGAATTATTTGTTATTGGTTCAAGATATTTTGCTGTCAATATAGTATTATATTAAACATAAATTGCTAATCGTTCAGTTGGTTTTATTTTTTACTTGAATTAATCCTGTACTTTATATCAAATTGTGAAACAACTTTATTCGAATAAGTGGTAACAGTGTGAAATAAATGTATGTTGAGTTTAACCAAAATTGTATCCTTCTGAGCAAAACTTAATTGCAGTTTAATTGTTTTTATCTCCTCTAATGAATTGTACATAATCTCTTTTAAAACAAATGGATGGATAAATTTTTTTGTGTTACAATCAACATGTGCGTTTCTGTGAAATGGAATATTTAGTATCCAAATAGTAGTTTTCTCATATTTTGTACATTACTTTCCATTTGTTGATATTGACACATGGCTTAACTGAAAGCTCGGTGAATATTTGTCGAAGTCGCTATGAAAGTCAAATCTTTTTTCTGTAAACCTAGCTTCTCATATTTTCACGACGATGGATTCTGATTTTCTTCATGTAGTAGTATGTATATATATCTCAGAAACCAATACTTAGTGGGACTTGGAGACTCTTCTCGGGCTTATTATTCACGAGTATTAGCAGGATTTCGAATCCTATTGTTTTACCTCTCGTGCGTCCATGCTTTTATTCTTTTTTCTCATTTGTAGATCAGATGTTTTATATGGCATTTTCTATATTTCTTTGTTCTTAATGGCTGTGTATTCCTTACGGCCTGCATCTGGTGGTGTTGTACGGAAGGTAAGCAGTATTTTTGGTAGCACGAAAATCAGTTAGTAAATGTGTTAATGGATTTAAGTGTGGAAGTATATTGGTGTTATGTATATACAACTGATTCCTTCTTTTTCTAGTCAGGACTGGGTTCAGGATTATTCAATTTCGGACAGTCACCTGTGCGTTTAATAGAAAAAGATAAGATTGGTGTACGTTTTAGCGATGTAGCAGGTTGTGAAGAAGCAAAACTTGAAATAATTGAATTTGTTAACTTCCTAAAAAATCCAGCAAAATACGAAGCGCTAGGAGCAAAGATTCCTCGTGGTGCCATCCTAAAAGTTAGTTTGCTATGGTTTGATTTACAATCTTATAATGTGGCATAATTACTCTCCGTTTGTTAGTTTATATTCCAAGGATTTTCTATTGCACATTCTCGCTATTTGTCACTTGTTATCTCTATTTTAGAACCAATTTCACTTTATCATAAATTGGGGTTAGTGATGAATTGTGAACGGCTTTTAGATTGTTAAAAATGAATGGTGTCTATCAAATAATATGATTTGGCTGAGTGATGGCTGTTCGTTCGACTGAATTAATGAGATATTACTGAGGTAGTGAACCTTCATCGATTGAGGTGGATAGAATACGTATAACATGACCATCTGCTGCCCACCTCGACGCACGACGTTTGCTGGTATAAGAGTAAACTAAAAGAAGGCTAGACCAAGACATAACATCTATCCATGAAGACATTAGCAACTGTACTGAACCATGTTGATAAATACAGACTATCTTGTTGTGGTCCATGTGAAAATAGTGATCGGTGTTTGTAGACTTTGGTTTACAGAACTTAGGATCTTTTACGATAGGGAAGATTCATTCACTCTTTGTCTTCTCTTAGTTCCTGACTTTTAAAATTAATTTATACATCATATTTCACAAATCCGTCTTCGAACTGTATTCCCTGTACTTAAGCTTATTTAATACACTAGTGTTACTACTTTGGTATTCATAGCGATATATTGTTTTGTGACAAATTGAACCAATGTACATATATATTAAGTCCTACGTTCCTTACAACTAAGTGATTGTGCTATTAATTTTTCTTCTCAAACCAACTTAAGATCGTTATTTATATTGCAACTTATTTGATAACAACACAATAATAATGATCGGATGTGACTGAATCCGACATGAATGTTTTAGGGTGTTGACTATTGTAGTAAAGTGTTCTCTTCGAAAGCTTCGTATTCGTGTTACTACATGGTCCTATCAATTCTTTTGGATAGTTTGCTCTCTAGTTGGGTCAATCAATGAAAAATATTTGACCGTTTTTTATTGTAAGTTTTGGTTAGTTAAAAATCTGTCTAGACACTTTGTTTAATTATAAACAACCTAATTGTTAACCTCTGTTTATTAAACAGAACCTTCCTCTAACTCATGGGTTGTGTCTTTGCTAATATTACACCCATCGAGCTCACTTATTTTTTTTCAAGACTGCATTTCTATTGTCATCGAAGTTGACGTTTAGTCTTCACCTTTTGTTTCTTATTTTGTTAACTTATTTTCTAGCTGTACTTATGTGTGACGTAACAACCTGAGTCAACATACATTTATATCTTTTCTTAGGTTTATGAGAGAACGAGAGCATAGTTTCTGTATCCTTGTTTTATGGAAAGCATCACTTTGTATCAATTCGTTCTGTCATAGCAATTAACTATACAGATTTCATCATTTTGCCTCGATTTACTTTATTCTTCACGTTTGCTGTGGATGTTTTATAAATGTCTCCATAGGTGATGAATTTTTTTGTGTCATTCAGTTATCTTAGGAGATTGCACTCGTTATCAGTTTTCTCAGGCTTAACAACAGGCGTTTTCTTAATTTAGGGTCCTCCTGGTACTGGCAAAACACTTTTGGCTAAAGCGACTGCTGGAGAAGCGAATGTTCCATTCCTTTCCGTTTCTGGGAGTGAATTTTTAGAGATGTTCGTTGGTGTAGGACCGAAAAGAGTACGCGATATGTTTGCCTCTGCACGAGACAAGGCTCCCTGTATATTGTTTATTGACGAAATTGACGCTATTGGTGGCAAGCGATCTGGTACATCTTTTGGTCATCAGGAACGGGAAAATACTCTCAATCAACTACTTGTGGAAATGGACGGTATTATAACTCTAAACTGACATTTTGATTTTCTCTGTAACGTTTTTTAATACTAAATTGCTTCTTTACAGCCAACATTTTTTATCAGTTACCGGTAAAATAGTGAAAGCAAATTTGTCTCAAGGATTTATAGATCGTTTTGTGGTTGTATGATTACAGGCGTTTACCAGTATGGAAACGATCGTCACTCGTTTTCTGCTTATTTTGAAGTCATTTTAGTAATATGCTGAATTAAAAAAGGAACATAGTTTTTCTGCATTTATAATTTTCAAAGGTCCACATTAGTGTACTATATACTGTCCGTATCGATCGAAGAAACACTTAGCGAATAGTTTATTTTTCAGTGTAATACAATAAACAAGACATCTGAGTAATTTAGGGTAAACCATTGAGTGAATACTGTTTATATTTCTTATTACTGTTAAGAGTGGGTAAACTGAAGGTGATTATTCTTACAAAACGATTTACTAAATGGATTGCTTTGGAGATATTTTAATCAAGTGTAACTTTTTAATGAATGCATTTTCCAATGAGTTTTACGTTGGATTATGGCTGTGATAAGTTAGCTACTTGACTCACTTAGGATTTCGTTATAACTCCAGTAGGCAGTATAACTTTCAAAATGAAAGTTAATTTGATCTAAGGAACTGACAGAAAACCCAAACATTTTGGATCAAATTTATACTAAAATTGTTAGTCTAATAGACGCCGTTAAAAAAGTCTTGTTGACAATAGTAACAAAATATATCAAACTTAATGAACAGGAAATCACCGAAGTATTTTCCAAGCTAGTTTTTTGCACTTAAGATACAGTTTGCTGTTTTCAACTAAATTTATACCTGGATTTTTTTCCCATCTAATCTTTGTTCAAGTGCCCGATTTCATCCCGAATGTAGATGATGGCTTGAAATCAATCTTCAGCTTATTTCTACAGAAAGTTTCGTCTTATCTCTTAATACTTTTTATTTGGTCGCTTTTCCTTTCTAATGACAATTAACATTGGTATTCATGTTTATTATTTATGGAGATGTGAATATACAACACAGTTTATTCATATAAATTGTGTTGGTTGAACAAAAATTAGTAGTCATTTTGACCTTTAAACCTGATCGTATTAATAGCAAAACCACACATTTCGCTTTGTAAGTTAGTCATTGACTAAGCATGTGTATATTTGTTAAATTCTCCAGATATTGGGTCAAGTTTGTTTGAGACCTTGGCTTTTTATGCAAAAGCTTATTTCATTCTCTTTCAAAGCATATTTATGGCCAAAGGATACTTTTAAAATTTCTAAACCTCTTATTTACTTTAACTTTTGTCAATTTAATTCAAATGATGAATTGTAACACTTAGATGATATATGGATACATCCATATTGGTCATCAATGTAGTGTAATCTTCTCGCTGATTATCATTATAGGTATTTTAAAGAATCCTAATGACTATTTTATTTCTGTTAGGGTTTACTACTCAAGAAAATGTTGTCGTTCTGGCTGCTACCAATCGTATTGATATTCTAGATCCAGCTCTTCTTAGGCCTGGACGTTTTGATCGTCAAATCTATGTATCATTGCCAGATATCAAAGGTCGTGCATCAATATTTAAGGTTTGTACATATTATCTTGCGGATTTCACTGTTTTAAATTTGGGCATGTTGAATTTATGAACATTTGTGTTCTGTTTGCATACTCAGTTAAAGTATTAATGTTAGTCATGGAAGTAAATTTAAATGTAGACATATTTATACCAAGCTAAACCTATATGTATTCCTACCCCTATGATCTGTGTATTAATCCTAAGGGTTCTTGTGGATACCTCATGAGCACATGGTATCAATACATATTCTGCTTTAATTGAAGGATGACTCGTTAAAAAACCGCTCTTCTTATGTTATCATAATTCAGTTGTATGTTCTGTAGTTACGGTATCATCAAACTGATGAATATCGGACCAGTTTAGCATATTAAACCCATCATTGACTATGTATGGCAATGGTATATTCCTTGTACTCTCTTTTTCTGCTCTGTTAATGCACCGATATTAAATTGTACAGGGATGTGATGGATTGCATTCACTTCAAATCTATTGTGTCATGTTTGAAGTCTGTCAAGTTGAGATACTCCACAGCAGCCTAGTTCATGGTTAGTTTTGGTCTCGATAAAGTATTCTTCACATTCCTGTACACGTTAATAGATTTCATTGACTGTAAGCTACATATATACTTTAATTATTTAAATTATTCATTTGAAAGATGTAATTCAGACCACTCACGTTTTCGCTTTAAAGTACCAACATGTGTTATTAGGTTCTACTGTTTGTTACCAATAGCACCCGTGATATTTCATGTTCACTTAAAGTGATTGTTCGCCAGACAATTAACTGAATCCCTTCTTTCTCGTGTATCCTGTCTAGTATAAATGTACAAGCTTTGTCTATTTTGGTAAGTCTCGATAATCGTATTCAAATATCTCCTTAATTCTTGATCTCGAGGTTAAATAGGGCCCCTTGTTTGCAATAATTTTTATGAAAATGACGTTAGCTTCCCGATCATGTACAAATCATTAACTACGTTGTCGGTAATTAATGGGTATTTAGATTTCGGAGACACCACATCGACCCACGGGACGCTGGATTCCTAGTTAGTGACACCTGTTGTTCTGTTTGAAATAGAGTCCAAACATAAACAAACCACAATATGTAGCCTAGGGTGTAATTTAAGGAAACCTGGAATAGAATTTTGTGGACTTGAGGTGTTACCATCGTTGGCACATGTATAAGAACTCAAAGTAAGAGGTGAGAATTGACAATAGAAACAGAACTAATATCTGGTAATAAAGATGAGATTTGATTGTAAGCAAGGTGATCTCGTGTACCGTTAGTGGTAAAAAAGTGACTATCACTTTCCGGTTACCCATATCTTGGAAAGTTCTTTAGTTGCTTGAAAAGAAAGTTGTGTTAAAAGTGGCCCTGACGACCGAAAAGCGTGATCACAATGCCTATAGGACAGTTTCTCAAGTCCAGCTACACACGAGCTTTTTGCAAGTTTCTGGTGTGTTGTGACTTCAAAAAGAACTGCCATGTGATTCTGAAATCCGTGTGGCAAGGTGATACGTGTTATTTTTAGGGTTGGTCCCTCTTGTTCAGTTCTGAGAAGGCAACATTACCGCAGATGCTGTCTGTCTAGAAAAAACCGTTTACCGTATATATATATATATATATATATATATATATATATATATATATATATATATATATATAGGATTACGTAGTTCGTTAACCATTATATAAAGAAATTATAATCAGTTTATAACAACGTAATGATTATTAACAAATTTTGTTCCCCTGATTCGTCTTCTGTTCTATGTTATCTACCTTCATCAGTCTTCATAAAGATTTGTGTTTTTGTTTTGATACTAGATACATTTGAAACCAATTAAATTAGCTGATGATATGCAACTTGTAGCTCGCAAAATGGCTACACGTACTCCGGATTTTCTGGTGCGGATATTGCAAGTGTATGTAATGAGGCAGCGTTAATTGCTGCGCGAGAAGATGCTCATAGTGTCAACTTGATCCATTTTGATAAAGCTATCGACCGTGTAATTGCTGGGTTAGAAAAGAAAAGTCAAGTAATGTTGTTCACTTTTTCATTCCGTCTTGACATGTTTATTTAGTTTCTTTGTTTTGAAATTGTCATTACTTAAGTATTGTAGTTTGTCAGTATTTAATAATGTATGCGTTGCAGACAGTTAGGGCTACATGTTAGGTCACAATGGGAATATACTAAAATGGTATTAGTTTGTTAATATCAGATCTTTAGCGAGCTGTTAATGACTTTGACACCAGTTGTTGAATCGGAGTAAAAATAACACTGGTACTAGTATTGTGCTTGAATCGCGATACTCCAGAGGTATAATGCAATACAATAGGTTCAGAATCTTGTGGGATTACTTTGAAGTGTCCAGAGTTATAATTATTTAACGCATTTACAATATTTATGTCCAACAGAATAAGACTAGCAGACACAAATATGAGATGGTGGAGAAGATTTGTAGCTCAGATGGATGATTTTGGTGGTGTTTTGTTCTCTGAGCTGGATGGTTTAGTCGTGGAGCTTTCATCGTTCTTCTGAACGACATCATCAGCACAAACTTCAGATAGAAGTGAAGTGTTCGAATTTCTCCATATGTGTTTCACAGCTTGTTCTGTGCACCTCGATGTTGATTGGTTCTTGTTGACCTTAAATTTATCATTGTTTACTTCTTTGTTTTGGTTGTGTCTCCCATTGGTTTGATTTTTGTTCCTATATTTATGCATGATTTTCCTGATTGGCTGATAAATTGGATTGATTTCAATATGTTTGTTGATTGCTGATTGACCTGAGTGCCAAGCTTCTAAAAATTCTCTGGTGTTTTTGGAGTTTCCTCTGTCTAAGATTTCTACATTTTCCCAATCGAATGAATGTCCGTAGTTATCCACGTGTATTGATATAAGTGAAGAGATATCATGGCGTTTGACTGCTAATTGATGTTCATGTAGGCGTAGGTGGAGGAGGCGTCCGCTTTGTCCGATCTACAGAACAAGCTGTGAAACACATATGGAGAAATTCGAACACTTCACTTCTATCTGAAGTTTGTGCTGATGATGTCGTTCAGAAGAACGATGAAAGCTCCACGACTAAACCATCCAGCTCAGAGAACAAAACACCACCAAAAAGACACAAATATGTTTACCAGGGTGACCGAATTAAAATCTAAGTTAACCAGCATATTTGGCTTTCATATGTCTGGTCTGAGCATTTATTTATGTGATTTCACCATATTTGCACCATTCCCCAGCTTTTCTAAAGTCGGGATACTGCTCGGAACTAATCCACACTCACTTTACTCGCTTGGATCTAAAATGACTGCCTTTGGTTGTCTATATCGATAGTGTATTTGGAAGTCTAGATATATTATAAACTCATTGACCAAAATGGAAGCGGCTAACACCATTCACTTGTAAATCTTTAGTACTTCCCAATCTCCAAAGTTTCGAGGGACCTCCGGAGTCAAATGACCTTCATCAAGGTTAAAGGGAAATATTGGGGTTTTGGTGCAATTTACCCAAACGTTTAAACAGCGGCTTCTCCAAAATGGGTTACATCTTCCCCGAAATTGGGAGATTGGGCTAGCTGAGCGCTCAGAATCATCTCTTACATTTATGAACTTAAACCTCCATGGATGGTCATTTTAATCTCCCAATTTTCCAAAAATCTTGAGTTTTTTAAAATTGAAATATATCAATCTTGTCTTAAAAAACGTCTCTGTACTTTTAGGTTTACTGTACTGATAACTAAATTTCATTTAAAGATGGCATTGTGTCTATCAAAGTCACTGAGTTATATTTTTCCTAATTAATTATCGACGAATAAGCGCAGTATTTTAAAAAAACAACTAAGAAATGAATATTAAGCATGATCAGAAACGGAAAATTGAATATTTTCAAGGGCAACATTTAAACTTACTCGTGATTAGTGCAATATCAGTTTCAGTTATCTCCTGTAATAACCCTGGTAATCATGGTTTAAAAACGTTAGTTGAAGAAGCAGATCCAGACAACCATCAGAATGGTCAGGTCCTTCGTTGGGCACTTCTCGACGATTGACTGCAGCCTATTGTAGAATTGCTCTTTAGCGTCTTCATTGTAGTCGTTGGTAGGCGCATAGCATTGGATGATGTTCATTGAAGCGCCCTCTTTCTTTGTTTTGAAGGAGGCTTTGATGATCCTGCGTATATGAGATTCCCATCCTATAAGTGCATTTTGTGCTCGTTTGGACAGCATCAATGCAACTCCTTGTGTATGTGGGGCATTTTCTTCTTCTTCTTCATGGCCGGAGTATAACAGAAGCTTTCCTGAAGTTAGTCGTTGTTGTCCAACTTGCGTCCAATGTGTTTCACCGATCCCAAGCACCTCTAGGTTGTACCTCCTCATTTCTGCAGCAATTTGGAAGGCTCTCCCGGTGTCTCACACTGTATGAACATTCCATGTACCCAAATAAATGGTTGCTCTGGTTGTCAGAAGGGGCATCGGCCTTACAACTTCTGAAGGAACTCGGCTTTCACCATGAGGCGTCATAGTTCTTCTAAATGAAGACCTCCTGACTCCCAGGGCAGAGTTTAGAAGGTTTGAATAATTTTTTCTGGTAAGGGTTTTTTTAGCGAGTTAGATTTCTACGGGATGGGGTCGCTAACCCCATGCCCAACCCTCCTCCTTTATCCGGGCTTGGGACCGGCAGTAGCCTCTGGAGGGACTCCAGGCGGAGTTAATATGCATGATCAGTTATTAGTATTGATTTAGTAAGTTGTGAACACTAGTCAACATTACAATGCGATAATACACGAGAGCGTTAATCAGAGACTTAACAGAATATAAGTAAAAAATCGATCGAGAAAGTTAGTGAAAATGAGGATTAATAATAAGTGTGTTTCCTTAGTAGGGCTTACCAATGTAGAATTATGGTTTATTTCGTTATTAGTACTATTGTAATAATAGACCTAATCCTAAAATTGTAGATTTGTCATGATGTGATCATCTTATCTATAAGATCTTACTTGGAAGTCACATTGCTGTCTGCATTGACTGGTCCTATCGTAGAAATCACCAATATGATGTGATCTATTTTTGGAGAACACATTTAGGTTAGAGATAAAACGATATATTTAATATGAATAAGAGACAAGTTGTACAGAATGACCACGCCTGCAAAGCTGAATCATGCCATGCCATCCAATTCAATTCAGTTGATTCTCCCCATCTTCTCCACTGTTGACCTTCTCTTCATATTAATTGTTGAATGGGCAATTTCCCAGCTATCCTATGTTCAGCTTTGGGGAATGTGTCTTTGTATTTCATGTCACTATCAGCATTTTCTTCATTTCTTATGAGGTAATGTGGTTGCTATTAGAGGGAATTCCAAGTGAAATCCTCATTTTCTGAGCCAGAATAAAACTTTAGGATTGTCGATTGCGTCCTTGCATGGCTTTTTCAATATGTTCTTATACATTACCCAATCCATTTTCTTGCAGTGTTTTTATAACTCGGTTTCTGCTCTAATTTATCAATGGTCTGCAGCTAGCAGAAACTGGAATATATCGAAAAGGTGAGCTTCGAAATCAGTTGGAGTACTAAAAGTCGCTGAACCATCACTTACTGGAGCATAGGCATTTCAATTTCGCATCATAAGCATTCTTGGAACCCCGTTAAATGCCTACTCAAGCTCAGTATCAATACAAAAATAAGGGGCAATATGCACATACATGTGAGGGACAACATAGTTGAATGAACTGTAGTCACACGTTTTACTGTTTCTAATTAGTCAAATTCTCTGCCAGATGAGGTAGTGAAGCTTCTTCTCAGGAGTCCTTCAACAGGAAGCTTATTCGTGAGTACTTAGAACAATATTTCATCGATCGATAAATATTCCCAGGTTCTTTGCTTTAAATATCAGTGATCCATCACTACCAGATACGAAGCCCGTAAAGCGAGTATTTTACACTCCTTTGGTCCATTAAGCGTAGAGCGCGAGTTTTAAGTTTTGAGTAGTTGGGTTGATTTAAAAGTAGTTGAACATGTGGTCCTCAAGCGGTAGACACTGATCTTTGTAGTTTTTGACCTTTCTAGATTATGGTGGTAGTATCGGAACTACAAGTGATTTTGGTGGAGGTTATATGGCGTCTATGAGTGCTAGTACAGGACAAAAGGTTCACCTTTCTAATGACCAAATTTATGGGGTTAATTTTTTTTAGAAGATTAGTTACCAGGGCACTATTGTTCCTTGTACGTGTGCCGAAATAATGGCCGCAAATCAAGATGGTGATAAGTTTGTTTCTTCATGTGGAATAGAATTTAGTCAAGTATGTTGAACAAGTTGATTGTTAACATTTTTCAGATATCAGTTGTTGGGATTATTCGTTCGGTAAATGAGTCAAGCACACGCGTAGAGTATGAGGTCGACGACTACACAGGACCGTGTTTGCCAGTAAAACTTTTTACAGAGGATCAGGATAATACATCTTCCGGCCTACAGTCTCGTCCATTTCGCGAATTATCGTATGTACGAGTACATGGTCATGTCCGGAACTTTCAGGGAGTCAAACATGTTATTGCTTTCCGAGTATGATAAGTTTCGTTTTGCGTTTCTTGATCAGGAGGGTTTTTCTGTGATTAGGAGGGATCCTTGGGTAGTGAGATCTCTGCTAATCTCTATTTCCTCAGTGTATATTTTTACGACTGATGGGCTCCGAGTGTATTTTATTCTATCAAAAGTTCCCTCTTCTTCAGTGCTGTTCATTGTGCGCTCTAACAAATTATCGCTCAGCAAATACCAAGTTTTGTTGGAACCCACGTAATTTTACATGTCAAATATAGAGGAACTACAAATATCAAAAACACTGCTTTTTGGCAAGTTTGATTTGACCGTATAACGTCGAGCCATCCAAATACATGATTAGCATTAAATAGACAGTTTTCGTACAGGCTCGTAATCGACCGTCTGACACTAGAGTGTATGAAGCATGAAAAGGGTTTAGAGTTAATGTACTGCATTACCTGCATATTAACGATCCATCAAATGTCGTTCTTATGATTGCTTCAAGTGTTCTTCCAAACTAGTCAAGCCGTGTTTTATTAGTATCTAATTATGTATATTGAAACTGTGTTTTGGAATGTGACCAAATCTATGCTTATTCCTAGTATTATGTGGATTAAATACGTTTATGAAATCTAGTTTTGGATGATAGATTACCCTAACCTTGCATATTATGTAAATTTAACGAAGGTATTATACAGTTTCTTGTCCTAAATATTCTATATCATCAGTTCTATTTTTGTTTACCTTAGCGTATTTAGTGGATTTACTTCACTCATAAAGTACAAATCCTAGAGGTTGACTTTGAGGCATACTATCGACATCCTAATGCTGGATTAGAATTGTTCATATACCACACGTGTATTTCAAATAACGTAATTTATGGCTTTAAAATATTTATGCAAGTAACACGACTATTAAACCTTAGAAGTTAGCTCTAAAACACTAATCCTAATGAGGGAAATATGCATTCATTGTCATACTAATACCAACCTTGCTGGGTCTGGTTTTATGTAAGTGCAGACTTTTTGAATATAGATGGTAAGTTTAAATTTAGATACGGCTTAGGCTTCAATAGACTTAAATGTTCACTGTGCGTCCACACAGTCCAACGAAAAATGAGTTGACATCAGTTATATGGCCTCTTTCATCTGTTTTTGGTTATAAGTGGTTGAATGATTCTCATCTGCGTCATTTGAAATGATCACAAATCTAATAAAACATTATCTTTTCGTTTCACCAAATCTATCAAGGGGGATATCCTTTACATCTTTAGGAAGGTCAACGTCTAAGTCGCGTTGCTTACCTAAAACAATGTACGTAGGATGGGATTCAAACTTGCAATCTACTTCATGAAAGCCAAGTACTTTAGCCAGTAAGCTGCCGCTACTTTCGTAGATTTTCGTTTCTGCTATGTTGCGTACAAATGATCAGAAGCAATATCCTTTTTACAGGTTTAGCAACTCTTAAATATTAACAGCTTTATCAACATACACAAAGATTTTATTTACTTTAAGGTCATCCATTTGTCAGACATGAATGAACTTACTGCTCATATAATGGAAGTGATTTATACAAGAATGTTGTATGCGAAAATCAAACAAGATGAGAATAATGGCGCTAACGTCAAAAGTATTTTCAGTGAGGTTGGTTCGCATAATGCACCTGGATCTACTAGTAATGGACTCACTGTCTTGCAAAACCAGATACTCGCAATAGTTAGGACGTTTGTTGGTGAGCGTGGAATCCCTGTATCCCAGTTAACGGAAAAGCTGCGTGGGATACCCGAGAGGCAAATAAGGTTTGTGCTAGTTTTCTGTAGTACTAAGTCAGATATTGACAGATGGTTTGCTTTTTAAATATTTAATTCACATGTTACCGGATAGAACAGGTCTTTGTTTTACCTATGGTGCATTTGTATACGATACTCTTGAGTATGCGTTGATAATCGCTCCAAGCATATGAATACGTTGTTATATGGTTGCACTTTAATCCTTTAAAACCAGTAGGTTTCAATATGGACTAATGTAAGTTTTCCCTGAATAATAATGTATGTACATTACAGGGTTTTTAGGCCATGTTGTACTGTTGTGACTGTACAGAGGTGTGACCGCAGTTAGGTGTTTCCTTCAGACAACCAGCATGACAGCGATGCTGCCTTCCCACAAAGGAAACGTGGGGTTACAAAAGGTCAACCCTAAAAATGCACGCCTCCCTTATCTCACGGGTATCCGTCTCCTGTGTTAAAGTCCCAACAAGTATGTAGCTAAGACAAGAATTACGAAGAAGTATGTGACCGACCTCAAGCAGTTGTCCCTTGGGCACTGCGGTCACGCTCTCATGTCACTAAAACCACCTCTAATCCAATTTTCTTTTCAGGTACCTCTAGAAGAACCCTTCCATAGCGTGGGCAACCAGGAACTGATAACCACCATCATACCTTTAACAGCACTCACTGCATTCATAGTCAACCTCCCTCTTCAATTCCTATTATTCCTCCTACCTCGAGTTTCAACTTTGAACTTCCTCGTTTGGCTTCCTGCTCAATTGTCACCATAGCCAACGATTCTAGTGCGCAAAACACTGTCCCAGGTCTACTGAAACCTCGCTCCAAACAACACTGGAGCCTTCAACGTACGCACCTTTGTCAAATCCGTCAGCAAGTCTCCTTGGCTTAAACCCTATAATTTCGTACCATTAATGTATGCTGTGTCTTCGGAACACGCATACAGGATCCTAGTGTGGTCATTCACTTGGCCTCACCTCGCCAAAACGGAGAGCTGACGACATACATCCTCCGTGTATCTGGCCACCTGAAGGTTAGTTTTTGTGGACCGGCAGGTGTAGGTATAGCACTAAGTACGAGGGCAGAACAAGCACTATTAACTGAAATCTGGGAGTTGGACGTAATCACATCTGATTGGTCACAATCACTGATTGTCCCAATATATGAGAAGGGGTCAAAATCATCTTGTGATAAACATAAAGGGATTAGTTTGACTAATATGGCATCTAAAATGCTAGATTCAATACTTATCGGGCGGTTAACAAAGACTCGTGAACTGCAAACACGATAAAATCAGGCTGGCTTCAGAGTTGTTTGTGGCTGCATCGACCACATATTCACTATTCCTCAGGTTTTAGAACACAGACATGCTTATCGGCGTCCGACAACGATAGTTTTTCTTAACTTGAAAGCAGCATTTGACTCTGTTGATCGAGAGGTTCTGTGGCAGTGTCCGTCATTGAAAGATGTACCTCAGAAGTACATAAACCTTGTGAAGGCTCCTTACTCAAACACTACTAATCGAGTGAGAGCTTATAGCGAACTGTCACCTGATTTAGCAACCTCAAATGGTGTTCATCAAGGCTGTCCACTATCTCCATTTTTGTTCAATTTCATCATTGACCTACTGCTGGTAATAACGCTTTCGTCATTTGAATTCTTGGGAATCGATCTCCTTCCAGGAGATCCACTTATTGACTTAGAATACGCAAATGACATAGTCCTGTTTGGTGAAGACGCTGATAAAATGCAGAGTCCTTTGGTAGTACAGAACAATACCAGTATGATTGAGATGCGTTTCTACCCCTCTAAATGCAAGTTGTTGCTTCAGGACTGGCCTGCATCAACACTTGAACTAAGGATAGGGAGTGAAGTAGTCGAATACCTTGACAACTTCACTTATCTTGGGAGTCTGATCAACCTTAATGGGTTGGTGTCTGATAACATCTCTGCACGGATTCAGAAAGCTCGTTTGACTTTTGCCAACTTACGCCACCTATGGCGAAGGCGAGATTTTCGTCTATCAATTAAGAGACGAATATACCGCGCGGCAGTTCGTTCTGTCTTACTTTACGGCTGCGGAACATGGCCATTAAAAGTAGAAGATATTCGTAAGCTACTAGTATTTGACCACAGATATCTTAGAAATATTTCTCTCATCTGCTGGGATTACCGGGTAAGTAACAGTGAGGTTAGACATAAGGTATTAGGGAATGATGGTAAATTAGTTGATGAGGTTGTGAACCTTCATCGACTGAGATAGTTGGGCCACGTGTTGCGTATGCCTGAACACCGATTACCACGATGCGCAATGCTGACTAGTGTTAGGGATGGCTGGAAGAAAGTTAGGGGCAGCCAAACCAAAATATGGCATCAGTGCTTGAAGTCATTAAATCCTGGTCTGAGCCACGCTGGTAAATGCAGACTACTTGGTTGGGGTCTGCGTGACTATCGTGACCAATGCTTGGAGACTCTTGGTGACACGGCTCAGAATCGATCACAATGGCGTCGGTGTACACACTCTTTGTCTTCCCTTAAACTATGAGATTGAAATCGCTTCACATCTTCCTCTCTACGAACTAATCCTTTCTTCCTGTACTATGTCCTTATATGCAATCTTTCTTTTATAAATTACCACCACTGAATTAACTACTTCTATAAATCCGGTGTTCATCTTGTTGTGCTAATGACCGATGCACATATGTGCCTGGTCTTACGCTTTAGTTGACTGACTGAATGAGTCACTAGACAATGCGTTAAAATAGTGTTGATCCACTGGTAATTGTCAAAATTAATCATTGAATCAGCAAATGGCATACTGGAGGAAATAGTGATTCATTTAATTGTGATAAGTGGGAAGAACATATAAAGAGCAACAATGTCATTACGATTATACGACAGAAGAAACGAGTTTAAATGGTGAGTGTGCTAACCACTGGTTGATGGCCACTCGATTTAAAGGGTTTTTGTACTTTAGGTTTGTCATCTATTTACTATTTATGCGTTTTAATACTTATATGTAACTTACTAATAGTATTTGATCATAGACGCCCTCGAAGTATTGGTCGCGTATATTGGGACAATAGAGCGAGCAATACTCGAGTTAGACGTAGCGTACTAGATAGAAATGACAAACTGGTTGATGAGGTAGTGAATCTTCACCAATCGATGTGATTGGGACATGTATTACGTATGCCCAACCACCTTCTACCTCGACGCGCGTTGTTTCCTGGTGTAGGGGTAATTTGAAGGAAAGCTAGGGGTAACCAATCCAAAATGTGGTACAAGTTTATGAAGTCATTCACTGTTGGGCTGAGTCGTGTTGGTAGGTGGGTAGTTCGAGGTTAGCACAATCACCGTAACCAATGGTTGGAGGTGTCGAGTGACATGGCTTCAAATTGGTTACAATGGTGGTGCAGACACTTACTTCAGGTTTAGTATTGAGTTTGGCAAACGGTTACGGGAGGTGACGATTAAATGGTTAGTCATTATATCTATCTAAGCAAATAATCAACAAAAGACTGAGTCCATCTATCTTATTGACTTAATAGAGAATTCCACTTTTCCCTAAGCCGTCTGTCTCATAGTACACAACACATCGGCCAGTCATCTCCAAGCAACTTTATCCTGGGCTCACCTTTCTAGTTGTTACCAAGTGGTACTTAAATTCATAGTGCCTGCTTCCGATCCCCGGGACTATGTGTTCTTTTGTCACCCTCTTTCCTTTCAGCCTTCAGTATTTCGAGTTAGAATTATTTGCAAGTCTTTATTATTTGTTTCTCTCCAGGGAGGACTTGGATTTCCTTAGTGCCGAAGGTCATGTATATTCGACTGTGGATGATGATCACTTCCGAGCTACTGAATCATGATTAAATCGAAAATGTCTGTGTCACCTTATTTTACACTAAAATCTTTTGATTGTATATAATTTTTGGTCTTATTGCCTATTGTCTCAAAAGCAAGTTACACTGTTCATAATGAAAACAATAACATTTAAGTTTGAGTGTCAGCTGTATAAATTAAAATAATGAAATTCGGTAACGTTATTTTAATTCAGTCTTGATGTTTTAGTGCGTCCCTTCATAAGTATATAGAGCAATATAAACTGACATGGAATAAGTTTAGTTACACTTGTTTGGTTCTTAATCAATTAGATTTCAGTAAAAGGTTATTTCTTCCTAACTTAAGCGTGACAGTTGACTATTGATGAAGACAAACGTCGCATGAAGCAACATGCGTGGATAGATATTTTATGAATCATTTCAGAACCGACCGTAGCAGCTATCATGATGTGATAGTCAGACTTACCTATCGTGATGACCCAATCGAAATATATTTGGTGAAAACACATTTCTTTCAAGTTCTACAATGCCAGGGAGGTCAGTTGAAGAACGGTAAGACCAAAACCAGCAACTTGAGGTCCAAGGGCACAGTTGTGCGACTGACTGTGTATGGGTGTGGTGGCAGTAAGGTGTTTCCCTCATAAACTGGCATCTCGAGAGATGTTGTCTTCTCATAACGGAAGCAAATGACTAGAAAAAAACCGACCTTAACAATGCCAAACTTCACCTTATTCCACGGATTCCCGTCTCTGGCTGCAAGGACTTCCGAAGTTCGTATGTAACATCAAAACCCTCCCACAGAAATTCTGTATGTGATTTGCCGCAAACAGTGTCCACTTTGACTTGGCGGTCTCTCCGTCACGCTTTTGACTTGGGCAGATGGGAAGTTACATTCGTCTTCATATATCTAACGTCTTCCACGATTATCTTGTTCACAATCATGTCCCTCATTTACGTTTTTATTCTCTCCATACTACAAACTCTACTCATATCTTTATCACCGCGCACTAAAGTTCATGTTGTAGCGTTTAATGCAGGACTGGCTTCATTAGCTAGGACTCGAATCCAAGTACGGTTACTTGTTTGACTTTACCTTGCCAATATAAAAACTGGTACGATCTTATATAAGCTTAACAGGCCATCCTAGACTGAATTCTAATAGTCACTTAATAGCTATCTGAATAAAACTAAACAGTAATGACTCGAACTGACGCTGTGTTGTCTCTGCCTATTCGGTTCGGATGAAGTGAACGATTAACTTTATAGAGAGCTTCTTAACCTCTTTCAAGAAGCTAAGTGGTTAAATGGATTAACAGCGGAACCAGATCGAACGGCACGGCAGTGTGGCTCAGTGAACATATGATAGTAACTTCTGCAACCACCAGATAATCGTCTTTTTCTGGCAGGTACCAACTTTAAGTACTGTCTGACATGGTGAACCTCACGAGACTCAATGTGGAGTCAAGAATTTTGGCATTATCTGTCGTCAAAGAAGGTCGGTAGAACAGTGCTTCTCATTTTGGAGCACGTGTTTAGACTACGATCATGTTCTTATGTGAGCGTGTATTTTTTTCCGACTTACTGAAAGTAGAGAAGTCGTAGCAAGATGTTAAAGTAGGTCTTTTAACTCTTAGTGTGGTTACAGGCAATTTAAAGATCAGAAAATCCTAATGGCATAACTAATGATAATTTTAAGGATCGTTTGCTAATTTAAACAAAGTGATGATTGAGGTAGAATCCGAAAAGCGAACGTAGTTTTGTGTGACTAGTCACGATCATGCTTATCTATTATAGAGGACAAAAGTTATTGTAACAACCACAGAAGAGTCACTTTCAGTAACATAGTGTCTGAATTATTAAACTCGGTGATAATTTGAAGTCTAACTAGAGATTGTGAAGAACAAACCTGGGGAAACCAAGCCGCTTTCAGATATGGAGGTGGATGTACGGACTGAATATTTACCGCTCAGGAAGTTATGGGAAATGAACACTTTGACGTCCGACAATAAATATGATTCTTGACTTGGAGCGATGTCCGGTTGCTTGTTATGAGGTTTTGTGGGAGTGTCTGTCATCGAAAGGCATACCGAAGTACGTAAACCTTGTACAGGCTCTATTCGGACAATGCTGGTCGAGTCAGAGCTTATGGCGAACTGTCATTAGGACCGGCTACTTCAAGTGGTGCTCGGTAGAGTTGTCTGCTTCCTCCATTTTTATTTAACTTTGTCATATACATGTTTTTAAAGATAACACTTTCATCGTCTGACTTTTCAGGGTTTGATCTACCAGGAGATTCACTTGTTGACTTAGAATACTCAGATGACATAGTTCTGTTTGGTGAATACGTTGATTAAATGCAGTCTTCCGTTCACCTTAAGCAACAATGTAAGCATATTTGGTTTGTGATTCTCCTCCTCCAAAAGTAGAATGTTGTTTCAGGACCGGCCTGCGTCTACTCCCGAATTAATGATAGGGAGTGCGTCAGTTGAATATATCAACCACCTCACTCATTTTAGGAGTTTCATCAGTCTTGATGGTCTGGAGTCTAATGAAATCTCTTTACGGATTCGAAGAGCTCGATCGGCTCTTTTGAACTTTCGTCATTTATGGCATAGGCGAGACATCCGTCTGCCAACTAAAGTGCGAGTATACTACACGGCAGTTCGCTCCGTTCTACTTGGTGGTTATGAAACATAGACTTTAAGAGCAGGTACTATTCGTAGGTTACTGGTATTCAACCATATATGTCTTCGAAGCATCACTCATGTGTTGTGAGGCTAGTGAGTATGCTATCCGTAGGTTACGAATGGGGTACTAGATAATAGTGAGAAGTTTATTGATGGGGTAGTAAATCCTCATCTGATGAGGTGATTAGGACATGCTACGTATTCCCATCCACTGTCCATCTCGAAGAGCGATATTTTCTGATGTTGGGTTAAGCTGGTTGAGTCCGCTTGAGTATTGTAACTATTAGTTAGAGCCTGTTATACCCCGTCAAGAATAATGAGGGGTAGCCTTTGGGATATGTTTGTGAACCAATACTATAGGTATATTTTGCCGTATAATTGTTAATTAACTAAACTATTATCGATTAAATGTTTCCATGGCAGTCGACTGACTGACTCACCGAATAATTAAAAATACTTCCATGGCAATATCGATTAAACAAATATGATTGGTACATATACGTTTGAATTGTTTTTATGAGGCTCTACCTTTGACGTATACCAGAGAAAAACAAGGGTTTGAGCAGAGAAGTATCAGTTCTACGTTGTAGACTGTTCTTTCACATAGGTTATATGTTAACAATATTTAGTGTATTAAAATTATTCAAAGCTTCGTTATACTCTATTCATGTGCGATCATAGCAACTTCCATATAACTATGATTTTTAAATCCAACAGGTTGTAAGCAGTTGGCGAGAACCAAACGAAATAAAATGATATTCTGCTAAAGTTTTGGCTTTTTTATCGTCTCAAAGAGAACAAGTATCATATAGGCTGTAATACGGCAACGAAGCTAAGCTAACCGATTAAAACTGACATTTTTTGCTGGGATATCATTTTTAATATCAGTAAGGCTGTAGAACTCATTCTCTAAAGGGATCAGTTTCTCTTATCATAACATTTGGTGGTCAGTGTTCTTTTCACATACTACAAAACATCTTATATTTCTTGACTGTCACTGCAAGTTATTCACGTTTTATCAATCTACCTACGCAGAGGAAGAATATGAGTGCTGCGTAAGAAGCTTTGCTCGTTATATCAGTCTGTTGCTAGACAACAGAAATCCAATAAATCTGATTACCTATGCTAGATCTATTTGGAGCAATTCATAAATAAGATAAATCATTAGGATAATCGACATATCTTACATATATGAATTTAAATTAGGTTTGCAAACATGATAATTATCACGGAAGTGGGTATTAGATGTTTTAAAACAATTAACAGAATGAAAACCTTGAGTCGATACAGAAAATCGCGTTCGTTTTTCTCAAAACGTTATTGGGAAAGAGAAAGAGCGGAGTACTGTTTGTTTAGTTATTGTGTGAAAATACAGAGAAATCAGTGGAGGCAAATTATAAATACTATACATTAAAACGTTTTCCTTTATGGAACTCGTAAACTACAAGTTCAGTTTTGAACAAGTTACTTATCCAACACTTTCGTTAATTCTTACAACACACAATCCAAGTCTGTACTTTTATATGAATTAGCGGTCCAGAAATATTGACAAGTTATAGCTTCACTATATCTGTTTGACTCCATTTATTAGACAATAATAATGCTGTCGAAGTTGATTCACATACACTTGGGTCAAGATTCTTGCTGTCATCACCTTGATCATCAAATTTAGCGAGTAAGCGATAAAACTCCGTGGCTGTAGGAGGTTCATAAATAGGGAAGTTTGTTGAATGATTCAAATCGTTAACAGATGGAATATTTGTTTTTGAGCTACATGGAGCAGTGTCAGATCGATCAGGAGAAAAAGAGTCGCTTTGTGGAGGGCAAGATATAGTGTTATGGTTTGGAGTGGTTGGAAGTGAAAGTGAATTTCCTTCATTGGCAGGACGATCATTTAAAACATCAACTTGCGTAGTTTCCTCAGTCTGCAAATCTGGGTGCTGACTGGGATGAGTAGAATTATTTGTTTTTTCAGGAGTAGTTTTATGAGATTCATCAGCATCATCGCCGTCCGAAATAATGACCGGGGACGATGGGTTATTTAAGTTGACTAGTTTCTCAGGACTCGGATGATATTTACGAATGAATATCTTATTATGACGTCTTGAGTGACAATAACAGCAGCACGAATGCCTGTGACGACACTTACGATGGTAACGGTCGCAATGACTACGGTGATAGTGATAGTTTTTATGATGGGTAGTTTTGCGTTGATGTGAAGAATTAAACAAGTGCATTGCTACTGAACTGAATTTTGAAGTTTTCTGCCATTCACTTGAAGAGGATGACGACCTTGATGAGAAAACTGATCTAGAAGTTGAACACGACGAATCACTATCT